AAAGTAGCAAAAAACTGAAATAAAAGGTATTTCGTATCAATGGATTTCCCAGGTGCTTTTAGAACAAGAATGTGGGGTTTTGTGCTAAATCCCAATTAGCTCATAACCAGAGAGAAAATGATGTATTTGAAACCAATTTGGTTTAAAATTATTATTTATTTTAAACTTAAATATATTAATATTTATTTTAAACTTAAATATATTAATATTTATTTATTATTTATTTAAAATTTCAGTTACTGAAAAAAAGTTAAAATTATTCATGCAATATTTTCAGACTATCTTAACCCAGTTTGGTTGAAAATTACTACATTTAAAAAATTCAATTTTTGAAAAAAAATTAAAATGATTCATACAATATTTTCAGACTATCTTAACCCAATTTGGTTGAAATTTATTAAAATTCAAAATTTCAGTTAATGAAAAAAAATTAAAATGATTAATGTAATATTTTCAGCCTACCTACCCCGGTGTGTTGGCGCTGTGCCCGCCGGGCCGCAGCAGGAGGAACTGATTTAAAATTTCAGTTAATGAAAAGAAAATGTAAATTATTCATTGAATATTTTCAGAATATCTTGAACCAATTTGGTTGAAATTTATTAAAATTCAAAATTTCAATTAATGAAAAAAAATTGAAATGATTCATGTAATATTTTCAGACTATCTTAACCCAGTGTGGCCGCGCTCTGCCCGCTGGGCTGCAGCAGGAGAAGCTGATTGAAAATTTCAATTAATGAAAAGAAAATGTAAATTATTCTTTGAATATTTTCAGAATATCTTAACCCAATTTGGTTGAAATTTATTAAAATATAAAATTTCAATTAATGAAAAGAAAATGTAAGTGATTCATTGGATATTTTCAGACTATCTAACCCAGTGTGGTCGCGCTCTGCCCGCTGGGCTGGCAGCAGGAGGAGCTGATTTAAAATTTCAAATAATAAAAAAAAATTAAAATTATTCATGCAATATTTTCAGAATATCTTGAACCAATTTGGTTGAAATTTATTAGAATATAAAATTTCAGTTAATGAAAAGAAATTAAAATTATTAATGCAATATTTTCAGCCTACCTACCCCAGTGTGTTGGCGCTGTGCCCGCCGGGCCGCAGCAGGAGGAGCTGATTTAAAATTTCAATTAATGAAAAGAAAATGTAAATGATTCATGCAATATTTTCAGACTATCTTAACCCAATTTGGTTGAAATTTGTTAAAATATAAAATTTCAATTAATGAAAAGAAAATTTAAATTATTCATGCAGTATTTTCAGCCTACCTACCCCGGTGTGTTGGCGCTGTGCCCGCTGGGCCGCAGCAGGAGGAGCTGATTTAAAATCTTAATTAATGAAAAGAAAATGTAAATGATTCGTGCAATATTTTCAGAATATATTAACCCAATTTGGTTGAAAATTACTACATTTTAAAATTTCAATTAATGAAAAGAAAATTTAAATTATTCATTGGATATTTTCAGCCTACCTACCCCGGTGTGTTGGCGCTGTGCCCGCCGGGCCGCAGCAGGAGGAGCTGATTTAAAATTTCAAATAATAAAAAAAAATTAAAATTATTCATGCAGTATTTTCAGAATATCTTGAACCAATTTTGTTGAAAATTATTAAAATTCAAAATTTCAATTAATGAAAAAAAAAAGATTAATGCAATATTTTCAGCCTACCTACCCGGTATGTTGGCGCTGTGCCTGCCGGGCCGCAGCAGCAGGAGCTGGCCCAGGTGTGCAGTGTGTGTATTTATCTGTATTCTTTCTCACAGGTACCTTTAACATTTGTCTGGCTTAAATTTCATGGGCGCCGCCGGGAGCCGTGCAGCCGGTAAAGGGCGAGGGTAAGGTTTTTGTCATCGTTCGGGCTCTTCCTTCCGACAGCCCCTCTCCGTGTGTGTCTCTGCCTCTCTCTCTCTCTCTCTTTCTCACTGATCTCTCCCCTCTTGGTCTTTTCTCAACTGCATTATTTCCTTCCAGGTCGGTTCAGTCAAGTGAAGTAGGCAGCTGGTGTCATGGCTTCGGTATTTGGGGCGGCCCAGGTGGCTCCTGGGCTGGGCAATCAGGGCTAGGGGATCCAATCTAACAGTCTGGAACCTTTTGTTTTTTTCTTCTTTTTTTCTTTTTTTTTTTTTTTTTTTTTTTTTTTTTTTTTTTTTTTTATTTTCTTTTTTCCGTGTTGTTTTTTTCTTTGTTGTTGTTGTTGTTGTTTCGTTTTCTTTTTTTTTTTTTTTTTTTTTTTTTTTTTTTTTTTTTTTTTTTTTTTTTTTTTGTTGGTTTTTTTTCCTTTTTTTTTTTTCTGGTTTCTTTTTTCTATTTTTTTTCTATTTTCTGTGTAGGTCTCTTTAGTCAGCCTTATAGCTAATGCCCTGGGCTACTCGGAACTAGGTGCCATAAAATCCCTTAGGACCCTAAGAGCCTTGAGGCCTTTAAGAGCGTTGTCCCGATTTGAGGGCATGAGGGTAAGATGCCATTAGCAGCTGATCCTTCTGCATGCCCGTGGAGCATTTTATTTTTTAAAAGCATGCTAGAACCGATCAAAACCGGTGGAAAGAGAATTCCAAACAGAATCATGATGCAGCTGCTGACTTGATCACCCCTACGTGGATGTAACCCCCACCCTGCCCACCGCTGCACCCTCCCCTCTAACAAAGGGAGATGCATCAGCTGCCTCATTACATTAATTACTGGCCCAAACCACCCATTTGTAGCCGATGTTGACACTTGGCTGTTCTCATTTGGCCTGGCTTTGACCTCGAGCATCCGAGGGGCTTCTCAGCTGGAACTTTTTTTTTGACCCAGGGAGAATCACCAGGTGCAAAGAAGCAGAATTGGAACCGCCTCAGGGTCTGCAGGCTGTTGGCTGTTGGTGGAATTGGACGGAAAGATTCTGTCTCAGAGGGGGATTTTAAAAAAGCAACCAGGGGGAAAAGGCTGCTCGCTGCAGGAAGGGACTGGGGGGAGCTCAGCTCTTTGAAAACTTTTTGGTTTCATTCCTCTTGTTGCACCTTGTTGTTCTCGGTCCAGTCTGGCGGTGACTGGCAGCCTTGTCTGGTAGTGAAGCTTTTCCTTTCTGTCCCTTTCCTTTTTTCCATGCTTTTTTGGTCCCTGTCCTGTCACTGTGGAACCAGAACAAAGCACAAGCAAAGCATTGAACTTAAACAAGCTTGAATTGGCACCACTCCCTTGGGTGTTTCAATTATTGCAGTGTCTCGCTGCTTTGCCACTAATATTCTGACTTTTTGGTGCTTTTTTTTCCCCGTTTGGGATTGAAAGAGTCTCCTAAGAACATTAAAAAAAGTAGTAAAAACCTGAAATTTCATATCAATGGATTTCCCAGGTGCTCTTTGAACAAGAATGTGGGGGTTTGTGCTAAATCCCAGTTAGATCATAACCAGAGAGAAAATCATGTATTTTAGATAATAAGGGAATAGCAGTCACAGTTTTACTTCAGGGTCGGAGTGGAGCAATTCCACCTGGATCCTCCTGATCTTTGGAGCATAACTGAGCCCAAAATCCAGCCCAAGAGGGGCAGAGAGCTGAGGGGGCTCCTCAGACTCCCTGGCAAGTGACAGAAATACCTGAGCTCCAAATCCAAGGGAGGTGTTTCCTCTCTAGGACCTTCTCCTGCTGGTATTTCTTTGTGTCATTAATTTAATTCTAGACTTGAATCCACAGCAGAGGCACAAAGGAAGAAAAATTTCCTTTCACACAAAGGTGGAGCTTTTGCTGGGCTGGCTTTGGGTCTGACCCAGAAGTCTGATCACAAAGAACAGGCCTAGCGCTAAACCTGGAGAAACTAAAAGCTGGTTTTAAGCCATGCTGGGGAGAAGATTTCTGATGGACAATCAGGGAATTCTCGTGCTTCAAGTGAGGAATTTTCACCGCAGGAAAATTGATAGTTGTGACTGCAGCCCTGTCAGCTCCCTAGGCCCAATTATCTCTCCTTTGTTTTGGAGACAAGTGTCAGTGCCCCATCCAACCAGCCCAATTTGAGAGATCTGAAATACCTTTGCACAAAGGAGACTGAAACTGTAGTTCTTTGCTTTTCTCTCCTCCATGGCAATCTGCATTTCCAGGAGCTTGCTCTGCTCTCAGCTCGGTCAGGGAGTTTGGTGGTGATGCTGTGAGACGTGCATGTGTTCTTGTCAGTCTGCACGCAAAAGCCATGTTCCTCCTTTGCCTCCTTCTGGAAAGCTCGGTAGATTTAATGAACCATAAATGACCATATTTCAGGAGGAAATTACCCTTTTTTTGCTTCATGTGGTAGCTGGAATAAATCAATGCATTCGCAGGAGGATGTGACCCAAAAAGTGCTGCTGGTCCAGCAGCTGAGCATCCTGTTGGGATGAAGGGAGAGGAGAGCAAAGGCATCACCTGCAGCCTTTTGGGCTCTCACCTGTGCCTTTTGGGTGTAGGGATGAACTCCTGACATCATTTACCAGCTGGAACGGAGGATTCACCATATGCACCACTGTGGCCTTCAATTTTCCTCCATTTTTCTGTCTCAGACTGGTTGGGGTTGGGAAGGACCTTAAAACCCATCCAGTCCCACCCTCTGGACCCCTCCCAGCAGCCCAGACCTCCAATCCCAGTCCAAGCTGGCCATGAGCCCTTCCTGCAACGGGAGGAGAAGGACCAGGACGAGCTGTGGCCAATGTCCCACCCTTGGGGCCTCCCGAGTCCCCGTGTGTGGTTGAGTTGCCTTTCAAATCTGAGGCAAGCTGCTGTTCATCTATTAAAGGAATCTAAATTAGGAGATCATCATAAAAGATTTCATATCCTGCTGACCTGCCGCTATTAAAAGCTTACATTTGGCCGGGGATGCTCAGGGAGGACGCGGCGCTCCCCAAACGGTGAAGGGCTAAAATTAGGAAGGGACGAGCTCTGACCAAACCCCATCCTCATTTCTGAGCGTTTGGAGGGGGGAACGTGGCTTTTGTGTGCTGGTGAGCCTGCCAGGCTGCATGCTCAGCTCTCTGCCTGGCACTACACGACTGGCCTTGCTGAGTGCACAGGATGATCTCGGTGTTGGTCCGTGCTTTCGTGTGACCACAGTGATGCTGGGCCTGGTGCTGGCCCCACGCAGGGAGCAGGACCAGGCCCTGAGTGAAAACAGCCTTGTTTGAGTGCGGGGAATGGCCGGAGGGGCTGCTGGCTGGGAAAACAAAACCTCGGGAATGCAGGAGCTCAGGTGTCCTCACACTTGGCTCTGAGGAAATTCCATCGGGAGCCTGTTTGTTACGAGAGTCTGAGCCCCCCCTCTGCCTTTGGGCAATTAAAAGGACAGGAAAGAATTGGTTTGTTAAAGAACAAAGAGTCCAGGCTCCGTAAATCCAACAATGTGGCTTGAAAAGAGAAATTATTTTGAAAAGATACGTATTATATAATATGTATATAATATAACATACCATATGCAATATATAATATGCAGTAGACAATATATAATATACTGTGTACAATATAAAATATATATGATGCAATATACAATATATAATGTGCTATATAAAATATATACTATGCAATATGCAATATGTAATATACTATATGCAATATACAATATATAATATACTATATAAAATATGTACTATGCAATATACAATATATAATATGCAATAGACAATATATAATATGCAATAGACAATATATAATATACTGTATACAATATAAAATATATGTTATACAATATGCAATATATAATGCACTATATAAAATATATACTATGCAATAGACAATATATAATACATTATATACAATATAAAATATATATTATACAATATGCAATATATTATATACTATATACAATATAAAATATATACTAAATGTGCAATATATTATATACTATATAAAATATATACGGTACAATATACAATATGCAATATACTATAGACAATGTATAATAAACAATATATAATATGCAATAGACAATATATAATATACTAGATACAATATAAAATATATACTATGCAATATATAATATATTATATACAATATATAATACATACTATACAATATATAATATACTACATACAATATACAAAATATAATATAATGCAATATAATTATAATAATCATAATACAAACACATATTTTGAAAGCACAGCTTCCCTACTTGCCTCTGAAGCAGAATTTGAAGCTTGCCACAAATTCACTGCCAATTTCTGGGTGGATCAGCAGCCTCCCCCATTTCCCCCCAAAAACAGCTGTACTTTTGCTTGCTGTCTCCTGCCTCGTGTTTTATACTGAAACTTTTTCCCACCCCTTCCAACACAGGTGGTTGTCAATGCCTTGGTTGGCGCTATCCCTTCCATTATGAATGTCTTGTTGGTCTGCCTTATCTTCTGGCTGATTTTCAGCATTATGGGGGTTAACCTGTTTGCCGGGAAATATCATTACTGCTTTAATGAAACAGCTGAGCATCGCTTTGAGATAGATGTTGTTAACAACAAGACAGACTGCGAGGCTCTGATGCCACCCAACTCCACGGAGATCCGATGGAAGAACGTGAAAATTAACTTTGACAACGTTGGGGCAGGATACCTGGCTCTGCTGCAAGTTGTAAGTTTGGGTTTCTGCCGTTGTCCCTTTGAAATATTCCAAA